GGTGGTAGCTCAGTGTATTTCTACATTCTAGTTTGCCCCAAACCAGCCCTATCTTTGTGCCCTTGTATCTTCTATCTAGAGGACTTTTATCTTGTGTGTGCAGGTCCCTCTCATTCCACTGAGATTCTGTCATCTGACACTGATGTCTGACTGTGGCTGTTAATAGACTTCCATCATCTAGCAGTGTGCTATTCACCTTAAATCTGCTCAGATATTTGTGGTTAATTTAGTCTGAAAGCCACATTCTTTTGGTCTTCATACATTTTTTTTTCCCCCATTCGTGTGGATTTTCTTCCTTTTTCAGGAATCTGGACTCTGGAGCAGGTATTATTACTGATTGTTAGAAGTGACAGTGATTCAGTCCAAATAGGAGAGAGAATTCTTCTTGCTGTATGAACTTTCACAGTGAACTGGAACAGCTTTTGTTTGATCTTCTCATTATTTATCTAACACAATGTGCTACTTATAGTGCATTACAAGGAAGCTGGAGTATGGTGGTGTGTGTGTTCTGTTCCTCTCTGCCTCAAAATGTCAACACTGGCTGAAGCAAACAGTTCCAGGCTTCTATTTAAAGAGAGGAAGCTGCAGGGTGACTATAGGCAGCTATTTTAATTTTGCTCTTATATATGCTTTTTTTTTTTCCACCTTGACACTCCTGTAGAGAAGAAGACTTCAGGTGTGTTTCATAGTCCTGTCTCTTGTCACCCTTGTCCTAATGTGGGCCATAAACCTCCTTCCTGAGTTGGCCCTTCCTGGTGTGTCACCTTGGAGCTGTGCAGCAGTTGTACAGCTGACTGTCTGTAAAAATGTTTGGTTTTGTAGCTGATGAGAAAGCTCTTTAATTTGACTCTTGTCAGTGTGCTCATGTGTTTTCCTTTGCCTTCAAGGAGCTGACGAAGTATGGGGTGACAACCTTGGTGCGAGTCTGTGAAGCCACGTATGATAAAGCTCCGATCGAAAAAGAAGGAATCCAAGTTCTAGTGAGTTGCCTTTAAAACTGTATAAAAATGAAAAAAAAAACTGGTCTGGAAATGGTGGGGATGGCCTTCATGCTTTGGGCAAAAGCAGTGTGGGCACCTGCATCAGCTAAAGGTGGTTTGGGGAAACTTGCTGTACTTCTGTGAAAAGGTACCTGCTGATTCCATACCTAGAAATATCTGTCCCTGGACTTCTGGATTTGTGGAGATGTTTTGGTTGCCTTTTAGTGAATAGGTTAATCCTAATCCAGTGCTCAGCCTTGTGGTTCATACAACTTGGTTTGATCCTTTTTCTCTAGACACAGCGCTCCTTGACTTTACTCTTGACCTTCTCGGGATGCAGATGAAACTCACTCTCACATAAAACCTTCCCTCAATCTTTCAAAAGGTACCTTTTGAGACTGTAGCTGACACCTTGATACAGGCTTCCATGGGCTGGCTGTAGCAGGGTGTTGATTGACAGCCTCATCACTCCCCTCAAAATGGAGCCTGGCTGCTGCCTTAACTGCTGCTCATAGTTAACATTATGCAACGACTGTATCATCTAGTATTGCTTGATGTTTTAGGGGAGGTTTTTTTAAGAGGTGTGTGCTCATACTAAGCTTGCAGGCGGTGTTTTTCCAGGCAATACATGTGACTTATTATAGAGTGTCAGATATAATCAGTTTATTTTATTGGAGTGAGTAATACTCTGTTGTGAGGCCAGAAGTTGCATCTTACCTTCTTGTTGCAGGTACTGGGTCTTTTGTTACCTCTTGATTTTTGTGGCTCAGCCAAAGCAAAACTTCTGCAGTTTTCCATTAGGAGAAAAAACTTGTATCCTGGCATATCTGTGAAAACCCCATGTACAGGTTGGTCAGGTTTCTTGGCTTCCAGCCCTAGGAAGCATTTACTCCAGTTCCAGGCAGCCATGTGTGCCTCAGCATTGTTGGAAAAATCAGTCATTACAGGGCTACCAGTGCTCCTAGGGCTGTGCTCTGGAATACTGTTCTTCACTCTAGAGCTGTCTTGGAGTTGGACATCACAGTGTTTTAGGTCACACTGTTGTGATGCTCTTGAGGTTGCCAGAGATGGGAGGATTAAACTCCTGGTGTGGAAGCCCTCAGAGCCCTGATTTAAGCTGAGGCTTAGGCTATTTCTGTGTTCCTGTGCTAAAGCAGAGATCTGAGTTCTTTCTAGAAGACTTAGGACAGTTTTGCAGGTGTCCAGCTCTGCCCTGTGAGGCCCCCTGACCTTGGCTTCTGCAGCTGTGAACAAAATCCTCCTTCTCCAGCCCACGGGGGCCCCGGCGAGGGCTTTGGAGTCTGCACTTCTGAAATAGCTTGGGGATTTTGATTCTCAAGAAACTTAAAAAACTTGCTGTTGCCTAGGTTTGAACTGAAAGCAGGTTTTTTGAGGAAGCTTTTCTAAAAACTGGAAATGCTGTTTCCGCCAGCCCTGCTGAGCAGGGTGCAGTTGAAGAGCAGCACACGGCGGAGTCCTGTGTCTGCACAGGTTTCCTCTGCACACGAGCCTCTCCACATTCAGCACAGACCAGTTCCACTGCTGCAGAAGGCAGAACAGAAGGGAGCATAAATCCCCCAGGCATCTGTTAAGGCTAACAGAAAGCAGGAGGTGACAGGGATCGCTGATCCTGATGATCCCAGTCAGGAGGTTGTCTTAATAATTTACTGTATTGCAGCAGAGCTTTGGTGCTTGAGGTAAGTTTAACTCATCACCAACAGGACTGCCTCCTGTGTAGCTTTTCCTTCCTGCCTGCTTTTTCAAAGCAAGGTCCTGTTGCTGTTTAGAAATGGTATTGAATTGCCATCTGGCTGAGAAAATAACACGTCACTATTTAAAGCTAATATTTGCTGGCAAAAATAACAGTAAGATTAAAAACACAGCCTGAGAGAGATTAGTGTCTATTTTAAAACCGTTGAGGTCAAATGCGTAGTTGAAGCCCCTGGAAATGAGAGCATTTGAGCAAAGCCTGTTCTCATGACATGATACAGGAGCATGTACTGGCAGGATGGGTAGAATGTGGCAGCTAGAGAGCTGCTTTGGCAGATGGCATAGTGTGAAAGTAGAGAATGAGATGTTCCATGTTTGAAGTAGTACTATCGCATGCACATGTTTATCAACAGAGATTAAATCCAGGAGACAGCAGGTGGGGATGGATCGAGTTTCTGTGAGCTTCTGCAGTTCTTACAGTTATGTTCACGTGTAAGGTCTTGTAACAGAAATGCTTCATCACAAAAACTGAAAGCTTTTAGTGTTGTTTTTTTTCTGGAAGTGTTCTAGCACTGGCTGACAACCAAGCAGGCTGCCATAGTTCTGTTCATCTGCAGGATCCAAGACACGTGTCATTGTTCTGCTTCTGTTACTCTTCATTCCTGGGTCAAGCTTTCTTGTGCTCTGAGCCCTCCAGAGGGGCTGTCACCTGCATGCAGGCAGGAGGGAGCCCCCAATTTAGAGATGTGACTCTGTTGCCAGCTGATATTTACTGCATCCCCATGGGCTTTGGTGATGAAGGTGGGAATGTTCTGTGTTGGTCCTGTGCAGGTACAGGCACTTCTTTCTGGGAGTGTTTTGCTGCTTTCACTTCAAGTCACACAGGGGTTTTGAAAAAAGGTACTTCTGTCACTTTAAAGTCCTGTTACTGCTTCTTGGTCGTCTCAGTTCTGCATTGTCAATCCTGCCATGGTTGCTGACTGACAAACCCGAGCTGTTCTGCTGAGCAAAGCTGCTCCAGACAAAGGGCAAATAAGAATAACCCTTTCTTGCCTAGAATCCTTCCCAGCTGCTGCAGGGTGGCACAAAAGAGCTGTATTTTCAGTTTGTGCAATCTCACCCTGGTTATTAATGAATGCTTTGGTTGTGGAGCTTAGCAATTTTTCTAGCCTGTCCAACAGGAATTGGGAGGTGATTCTGGCAGAAATCCCAATCAGGAAAAAAAAACAACTGCAAAACTTTGCTGTGATTACTCCTTTAGTCCCAGAATTATTCTTGCTCCTCATTCTGGGCAGTGTCCCCTGCAGCAGTGTTTTTATCAGTGCTAATTTAAAGCCTGTGGTGTACCATTCCTGGGAAGGTGATGATCTGTGGGGAGCTGATGATTGTCATTAATTCAGGCCAGCACAAGAGTTGTGTGGACATGGTGGTTCACGTGGAAGCTGAAGCAGTGTAGCAACCTCCCGAGTTTGGTCTGAAGGATTTAATTTAATCCAGAACTAGGACACAGAACTGACATGTCAATCCTGTGCTTTGCCAGGCAGTTTCAAAGGAAAGCCTCTTGCAGTGGGTAATGCCTCTTCTCTTGGCAGCCCATATGTCTCTTCCTGGGACAGTGGATGACACTAAGCCTAAAATAATATCACTGGCAGCGTGTGATTGGGTGGAAAATCTCGTAAAAGCTTTTTATTAGAAAGAACAAGTTTAACATTAGGATCTTGTTTCTAAAGTTTTTTATTTTGCTGTGTTGTCCCAGATACCTTTAATTTCCCGTTTGCTATAAAGAAGTTCTCTGCACTCTTCAGACTTAGTGTATTCTTCTGAGTTAATTGCATGTTATTTCAGTAACTTGCAAACTTTTTGGTTTTGTAGTTCAGAGATGCATATTTCCACCCTGCAGCTTTTTGAAGTGCTAACACATTTATAAGGTGCTCCTGGGCTGAGGCCTGTGCTGAACTATACTTGCTATTCAAGAAGTTTGAGGGTGGCAATAAGTGCTTTTCAAAATTAAAAGTCTGGGATTTGGTTCTACTTGTTCAGAGTTTCTGCATGCTTCTTTCAGGCTGCAGAGACTATTACTTCTTGTTAACCTCTTCTCAAGATAATACATTAAAGACATTTTTCTAACCAATGCAGGAAGAAAGAGGCTTCATTTCAAAGCAGTTTGGAAAGGTTCTTGAATAATAAAAATGCTGGCTATGAGTCTCTTGTAAAATACATTGCATTTGTTTAATGAAAATTGTCAAATAACACCCAAGTGTTGTTTTTTCCCTTGCACGTAGGAGTGCTCTTCTTCCAGCACTCCCTGTGTCTGAGAAGATGATGGAGCATGTGATGTTGTGCTTGGTTTTCAAGCACAGGACACGGAGTGCTGCTCTTAGCACAAGTTCTAGGGGAGAGCTCTGACCTCAAGAAAATGGGAAGCTGCTCACATGTGATTTCCAGTGACAGCCGTGATGTTGATATTAAATGTAACCTAAGTAGTTTAAATGTTGGCTACCCCTTTAATATTAAGGCAGAAATGTTAACTGTAGCTGCTGCTTTGTCTTTGTCTAAGCAGTCTCCTTTTTTTGCCTGTGAATGTGTTTTGGTTTTTCTTACTTGAAATTAGCCAGGTAATTTTAACTCTTACTGATTGGATTCATGGCAGCTGAAAGTTGATCTATTTGAGTTGTTACAAAGTACCTTCTCCCCTGCTGATCCACTTGCAACAGAATAAAGCACCTTCTTTGTACAGAGTCTGCAGTACAAATAGTATTTTAAAAGGTTGACACAACCACAGGCAAAAGTCTGCAGAGTTCTCATCTTTCAAATGTTTATTTGAAATGTCTATTGATTTTTACATATTTTTAATAACATGTGATTTCAAGGGCAGCTATTTTTCTAAAAATCCTATACTACCAAGGAGTTAGTGTAGAGTTTTATTGGAATTTTATTGAAAAGTGCAATTAAATGGTTGTTAAACGTTTAGTGTTGCATTATGATATTGACTTGCAGGCTTCAGTGCAGCCAGAAAAATGCCCACAGCACTGCTGGTGTAGTGTAGAACACTTCTCTGTTCCTTCTCCCAGTGCTGGTTACCAGGCTGTTGGTTATGGATTGAGACCCATGGAGTTAATGCCCTTTTTCCCCTCCAAAGGACTGGCCGTTTGATGATGGAGCTCCACCCCCCAATCAGATCGTTGACGACTGGTTCAGCCTGTTGAGAACCAAATTTCGTGAAGACCCTGGCTGCTGTGTCGCTGTTCACTGTGTTGCAGGGTTGGGAAGGTCAGTGCTCTGCTGGCTTGTTTTTGTACTGACTGTTTGTTTGTTTGGGTCATGGAGGGTGTTCAGTCAATGCCAATTTCTGTGCTTTCTTCCAAGTAACACTTGAAAGCAGCAGCATCAAGTTTGTGTCATTGACGTAAGAGAAATTGAATCTTAAAAATCACTAATTTCATAACCCTGATCCAGGATGAGAGAAAAAACTTGGGAGAGTTTGTTCAAAACACTCCTGTCAGTCACAAGGAACACAAACAGAGATGCTGTTAATTTGAAAAGAAATAAAATCTCTGGTTGTGCTTGACAAATGCAGCATACATGTATGGCACGATTTATAAGGCTGTAGAGATGGTGTTTTTTCATTTCCTCCTGTTTTTTAACTGGTGTACTATTAAGCACATGGTAATAAAAAAAGCATTTAGGAAAACTGGTTCAATTACTGTCTTACTCTAAAGTGGTTTCACTTCAGTGGTGAGAAGGGTTAGGCTTGTATTTCTTGCTCAGATACAGGCTGGTGTTTCTCTCCTCACCACTCAAAATACAACCTCCTTCTCTGGGAAGAACGTCCTTTCAAGATGAAATAAAGACAGACTGATTTGGGAAAGCTAAATGCTACATTCAAAGTCCCAGCTGTAATTTCTGAATATTATATTTATGCTATGGGCTGGGAGGAAATGGAACTTAAGTGTTAGGATCCTTACAATAACCAAGGGGCAGTAAATATTGAAGGAGATGAATGAGTGGGCAAGGAGGGTGGATTAAAGAAGTCCAGCACAGAGATGGAGTGTGTCAGGCTCTTAAATTTCCTTCTCTAGAGAAGAGGAGGGAAATGGAGAGAGAGAGGGAGAAAGAGCCAATATTTAAAAGACACAAGAGCCAAAAACCCCAAGGCAATTGACATTTGTTTATCCATTTCTACTCTATTTTTATCTAAGGAACATCTTTAGGAAGGTGCCCACGTGTAACTCAAGTGATGTTCAACTCCCCTGTTTCTTGCATAATATCAGGCCAAAGGGTACCAGAAGCTTCCCACCTTCTGTGTATCACACAGAGCTTGTGTTGTGTATCTGTTGTTACAGAATGACCTTTTTGCTGTTTTCAGACTGCTTCTGGCAGAGGGAAAAGCAAAAGCTTTACAGATTTTACTTTAATCTGGAAAACTGTCTGCCTGTAGTAGGGAACTGCACTTCATTTATAGTCAAAACACACAGGATTTTTTTAAGGTGACTTTTGGAGTTGCAAATTGTTTCCTTTGGAAAAAGAGTAATTGTGTTTATGCAGGTGCAGTGACAGTGAGAGCTGGTTTTCCTGAGCTGTATATTTTCTTTAGCCATGAGTGCACCTTGACCAGTTGCTGGCACCTGCTTAACCCTTTACTTCTTTGCTGTCAGTATGTGCTGTGTGCCATAAGAATCAGACTGCACACAAGAGGTGTTACTTGTTTTGGCTAAGTAGAAAATTAGGTTATAGTGAAATGAGAGAGCATAAAAATCTATAATTATTCTTTCATGGCCCAAACACTCAAGAACTATTGATAATGTGTGTGTGTTGGAAGCAGAGCTGTTTACTGAAAGAAATTTTACATTAGGTACTTAGCAAGCAAATGTCTTTCTGTAGGTAATGTTTAAAGAGGAAATACTTCAAGCTGTTTGTTTAGTTTGATGTATTTTGAGGGCTTCAGTATATTGTTTCTCCAGCTCTTCCTTAAATATTGATTTCTCCTTTAGGGCTCCTGTCCTGGTTGCACTTGCTCTCATTGAATGTGGAATGAAGTATGAAGATGCAGTTCAGTTTATAAGGCAGTAAGTTACATTCCCCATCCTCAAGAAATCCCTCTTTTTATGTTGTATGTGAACAGCACGTGTCTCCAGCAAAGCTTGTTGGATTGCTGGTTTGTTTTTCTGGTAGCTACATCCTGGCAATAATGGGAATGACTTCAACATGAATGCTGAGGCTTGTGCCTTTTCATAGAATCACTTGGGTTGGAAAAGACCTTTAGGATCATCAAGTCCAACCATTTCCTCTGTTTAAAGATGAGGATTAAAAAGTGAGCTCTCCTTTTTCTGTGTTTTTTTCTTTAAATTAGGGCTTATGAATCCATTGGCCTAAAACTCAAAGATTTTGAACTTGAGAGGAAAAACTGTCTAGGCTGGGGCTACAGAAATTGTAATTAAAAACAAATAAAAATTAAAGATTGTAGTGAAGTTGGGCTCTCAGAACTTCTACAGCAATTAAGTGAGCACCAGCTCTCCTGCAGGTGTTGGGGGTGAGTGCATTAGCCACCCAGGAGATGTCAGCCTGCCTGGAATATCACAAAACTGGTGAAGGATGAGAGTGCAGAGCTCTGTTGGTTTAGTGATAACATCAGATCTTGAAATGAAGCCCAGCAGGTGAGATTATGTTGAATGAGCTTTGCCAAAAAAGCAATTTGTCCTTTTATGGACTCCCAGGGTCTTCAGTTTTCTTAAACTGTATTGCAGTCAACAGATTTTTCTGGATTTTCCCTTTCTTAAGTCCCTTTTCTCTCTTCCTGGCCATGTTACCTTTTATTCCAAGAACCTCCTTTCTGAGAACCTCTTAGAAATTTGTATCCCAGTGTCATGGTCCTACTTAGCTAATATAATACACAGCACACAAATCTGCAGGGAAAGGATGACCTTGGTGTTGTTCAGTGATGATGGAAGGAAACTCTCCCAGTCCAGGAAAATATGCTGAAATTTGCTAACTGGATTTTTATTTTATTATTGGCAAGAAGGTGATGAACTGCCATGTGCTAGCCTGCCTTGTCCTCCCTCAGGCTGTCCAGGGGTACAGAACCAAGCCAAAATTCTTTACTGTGAGGGTGGTGAGACACTGGAACAAGTTGCCTAGGGAAGCTGTGGTTGCCCCATCCCTGGAAGTGTGGAAGGGCAGGTTGGATGGGGCTTGGAGCAACCTGGTCTATTGGGAGGTGTCCCTGCCCATGCAGAGGGGTGGAACTGGATGATCTTTAATGTTTTTTCCAACCCAAACCAGTCTGGGATTCTATGAAAATGCTGTTTTCTAGATGGATCAGTTCTTGTTTCAAAGCTTTTTATCTACCTGAGGATATACGTGGTGATGGAAGCAGTACTTTTTCCATTGATATTAGCCTTCCTTCTCTTTGTTTTAGGAAAAGGAGGGGAGCTTTCAATTCCAAACAGCTGCTTTACCTTGAGAAATACCGGCCTAAGATGCGATTACGCTTCAAAGATGCCAACGGTCACTGCTGTGTTCAATAAAAACAAAACAAAAGAATAAATCTCAGTCGAAGGCAGAAGGTAGCATGGCTGTTTTCTGGACTCTTGGCACCTGGAAATGTGAATCTGGAATCAAACTACATCATCAAATTAGTGGTGGAGTCAGTGCTCCTCAACCTCAGTCCTAATGGTGGTGATTGAAAAAAAAAATAATTGAAAAAAAATTAAAAAAAAATAAGATTAAGAGAAACATTTCAGTGAAGGATTTTCTCCTTAAGCTGCAGTTTGAACATCTGCAAGGAGAAAATAAGTTTCTGAATCTCCTGTATTTTTAACTTTTTAAGAAAAGAAATAAATTTTATGTCTTAAGGAAAACCAGCAGAGCACTGGCTTGTGCAGAAACTATTTTCTTGATTTGAGGAAAGTACCCCAAAGTTAGGGCCTGATCCATTCCTTTCTATGGGAATCTTTTAAATGGAGTTGCCTTTTTTTTTTTAGCATTGCTGGGGCCTGGCAGAGTTGTGAGGAGGATCCTTTGTTGCTGTATGGGAGCAGTCTGACAGCCTTAAGCCCAACCTGGGCATGTTCTGGAGGTTGGGTGGTGTCTGTGCCGTTTGTCTGTGTGGTGTTCAGGCTCTGCAGGTGTGAAAAAAACTTCCTGGTGGGCTTTACCAGAAGACTCACTGCCTAATATTGTTGGTGAACCTGCTAAAAGCCTTTTCTGACTGGTGGGAGATGGTGCTTTTAACTGTGTGTGTGTGTGTGTGTGTGTGTGTGTGTGTGTGTGTGTGTGTGTGTGTGTGTGTGTGTGTGTGTGTGTGTGTGTGTGTGCACGTGTGGGATTTTAGGTGTGTGTGTCAGTCTTATTTTTCCAAAGAATTTGGCTGAGGTGTTAATTGTCTTTCTGTTGCTAGATAGAAGATCTGTCCCAGCAGAAGACAGGAGTGTCCTAGGTGAGCAAGGGACAGTTCAGACAAGGATTTAAAATGAATTTATCAGTCATAAGGAAGAAGAAGAGGCACTTTGCTGCTGTCCAGATTCCCTGTCTTGCTGAACACAGTAAATCAGGATTTGGGGGAAGGGTCTCATTGTGTTGTGCATGAGGGAAAGGTGGGATACACACGGGAGTGCAGTCCATGGAAAAATACCTTCTGGGGTTGCTTTCCCAAACTAGCCCTCATGTACAGTTCAGTTTAACCACTGATTGCCTTGTCATTTTTTTAAATTAGGTTCTTTTGGAGGGAGAATCTCCAGTTAGACACCAACATGCCTGTTGTGGGTTCACCCTTGGCAGACCCTAAATACTCTGTTTTTTGGAGTGTGCACTGGCACCACATCCTGTTCACAGGGCCATTGGGGGTGTCAGTGAATTAATCAAGACAAGTAATTTTCCAGCCTCTAATAAGCAGTTTCAACCAGGCTACTTCTACCAAACACATTAACTTAGTGCCCTGTGCCAGTAGTGACCTCATATGCTTTCCACTTGACATTATGTCTGTAATATTCAGCCACTAGAGGCTTTGAATAGAGGTTTAGGGTCAAACTCTCCTGTGATCCTTTGCTGTGGAGCACCAGAGGCCTTTGCTGACCTGTGCCTGTCACAGGTGCAGAGTGGTGCCCGTCCTACACCCCTACCTCAGCTGCTGGCCAGGTGAGCTGCCTTCACAGGGATTTCTTCCTGCTTTTACTCTGCAGCATAACTGCACAAAGGTTTGGAGAACACAGGGGAATGGACCTTTAGAATTGGATTTCTGGAAGGGATTTATAAATTTAGGCAAAGAATAATGGTACTTGTCAAGCCCCTCACTTCACAGGTATGCCAAGAGGCCTGAGGGCCAGGGCTAGAAAACCCACACTCCACCAAACTCAATCTGTACCCTGGCTCAAGCTGTGTTGTTGTACTGAGGTCCTTCCTCCCTTCAAGCTGTGTAACATTTCTGATTTCTTTAATGGGTAAAGGAGCTGGGAAAGTGTTTGTGATGCCAATGCCTACATGAGGGAAGTGACGTGTCTGGTCATGTTTGAGTCCATGTGGAAGGCAGATGATGCTGAAATTACCAAATTCTGGCCACTGCCTTCCCCTCACAAACTAAAAGCCTGATGTTTTAACTCTGCAAATGAAAATTGATGTTTTTAGTAAAATGAAATACTGATAGTTAAAGCTGATTTGACAAATGATGGAAGTCAGATTGGAGGGGAAGGTGTTGAGCTGCATTAAAAACCAAACCCCAAGCCCTTCTGAGGAACAATAAAAACAATTTTACATGCTATCTGTATAACTTTGCATTCTTGCCCCTAGTTTTACTCTGATTTATAATGTACTGATTATCATATACTATGACTCTGCAGCCTTAATTGAGGAAATCCAGTGAAAAGTGCAGCCTCAGACAGTGTAGACACAAATAGGGGAGTGTAATTGTGACCAATGTCCCATAGGCACAGTACTTGGTTCAGCACTAGAACACAGTGCAATAAAGTTCTTGCAGTAAAATGTCTTCCCTCTGGCTCTTGATGAATTTATTGCAGCTTGTTAATGTTAAATGCTCTTGTTTAATCTGGTTTGTAAAGGCCTTTGGACAAGTTTGCCCATGCCCCTTGTCTTCCTGACCACTGTTGGGTGTTGCATGGCTTGGATTTGGTAGTGGGAAAGGCTCTTCTGCCTTTGAGAAGAGGTGCTGCAGACAGCAACAGTTCTCTTCCTTTAAATTACCTGTTTAAAAATGTGTAAACTTGCCTTTAAACAAACAAAACACACACACACACCACCCCCGCCCCCC